ATGCCATTGTTCCATGCGGTGAATTCTCTCTAAGGAATTTTTAATTACTTTCAGTTGTTTTGATAACAAGCAGGTGCGAACGTCGCCAGAGTAAAACAAAACTTCGTGAAAAAAACATCAAAGAAAACATGTTTTGGCCAGATCTTTGCACGAAATAACAGGCCTATCTCTAGATATATTACGAAGGAAATAAATTAAATACCGGGTGTAGCATGCAGTAAAACAATAAACGCCCCTGCCTGAATAAAGGCATGCTTGAATAGACGCCGGGGTCATTAGTATGACCAGGAGTATATAATATCTAATATCTTCTATTATATACTCCTGGTATGACGATAACAATAAACGCGTTTATTCGAGGGAATACGGTATATACGATAAATATCTGTACTTCGAGGTCATTTACTATATTAGATAACAACGTAGTGAATAAAACAGCGGAATAGCATGTATGGCTGTATCGTATAAGTTGTTCTTTATAAAACATGTTACAGGGTTAATGTTACAGTATCCCTGGCGGTAGTCACTCAATTTAGTCATCAACCACTAAATAGAAAATACAGAAAAAGTGAAACAGCTTGGTCGGATAACAACGACTCCGCCCCAGGTCTTTATATTGGAAACCGGATTTTCACAATGCGCGTTTCAGTTTATGTGTTGTTGGTTTTAGAATTTACCTGGCATGCATGCAGTAGCTGCTTGGCATATACTCAATGACATATACACGCAGCCAAACCTAATCTCCGGTCGGCATAATAATAATATTGCTCTTGATTTTCCAGAGCACATTCACGAAACTTGCGCGTGGAACACGTATTATATATTATAATAATATCTTATGCAATAAACAGCAGTTTTCTTAACTTGGGGTCCGGTTTACATGTCGCATTAGCTGGGTTTTGGCGTGAGCCAAAATAGGGCAGGATTTTAACGTAGCATTTTACCAAATTTTTAGTACTTAACTGGGTACTTAACGGTACGCGCTATATGAACGACGGTATACACTATATCGGCTTGGGAGATTACAGTCGATGATTTATAGCCCCCAAAGTGAGAATCACTATTTCGTCCGGAATCATAAACCTATATTTACATAATTGAGTGACAGGCTTTCTTCATATATCCTTATAGTGCTGTTAGGTTATTAAGACTGAATTATTAGTGGCAGTTCTAATTTATTACCACCCTGTATTTGGAACAGCCACAATGACACCGAAGGGCTACTACGTACGCTCACGCTTACGAAGCGTTGATTCTTCTTTCCGTTTCTGTTTTTCCAACACCTAATCTAGAACCCATGAGATCTTCCCTCCGCCGTCCGCAACTCAAGCTAACCCAGACACAAATAATTACTGTGCTCCAGGGCATTTGCCAATGTTGCAGAGCAGAGCTCAACACACGCAGTTGTGTAGCAGCGGGCTCGTCTGTGTTATAGCATCCGAATTATGAAACTATAGTCGTTTACGCGCAGGCCTAAATGTCGACAAAGT